CATCTGTTTTTCTCTCAACTGTTTACTTTCACTTTAGACATAAGTTAACTAACTGTGTGTATACTGTATGTAAACCTTGTGTGTTTTTGAGAGTATTAGTGCAATCAGTCGCTAACTTGGATAACTAAGTAATCAGGTGCTGTTTGACCGGGGATGCACTCTTCAGGTGTACGCGCTCTGAATAAGCGCACGTCAGAACAACACGCAAATGAAACGTTTAACCGGCAAGGTTTTAAAGCACACGCAAATAAGGTACTTTTGTAATTGCGAATAAGTGCAGTGTCTCGTGAGTGTAACTCTACTGTTGAATTAACATTTGATGTGAATGTGTTGCGCGAGTTGCAGTTGGAGCTGGAGCCGGAAGACATAGTAAGTACAGCGCATTGCTTGAGGTAGATGTTGCGTTTTGTAAGTAAATGTTTCATTGTGTTACTAGTGTTGCCTCCTTTGTTCACTATTACACTACTGCATCTGACACTGGTGTCGCTTAGTTTTGTAACGTGAGCCCACACTTTCGAATGTTTCACCATCACTGATTGCACACAAACACACACCGCACATGCGCATGGATATCACACGCACGTCGAGCAAACGTCGGCCACATCATTCAGTGAAGAAAAAATACAATGCAAGTATCGATAACAGTATCGTTTGTCCTGAAACTTATCGGTAGTCCGGTATTGACCCTATTACATACCGGTCCAAAAAAATACCAGTTCTCTGTTCCCATCCCTAGTGACAACCCTGCATTTCACCATTCTTTGAAATTGCGTAGAAAAAAGTGACAAGTACATTTAGAATTTATTGTTTTGTATTCCAGAAGAAAGCCATACAGGTTTAATGCAATGTAAGGCTGAGCAAATAATGACACTTAAAAATGAACTAATTTTTGGGTGAATTAATCTTTTAAATAGTCTCCAGAACACCCATATTATAGCAGCTTCATCTCCCCTCCACAGAAAGCATTTGGTTCTTCCCTGAGCAGGTGCCTATGTTCATCTATATTTGTCTTCGTGGGCATCATGTGTGTCCAGGTTCTGTTGAACCAGACGTGACAGATGGTTATGTAA